TGACGATCTTAAAATGAATTCACCTAAAATATAGAATTATGAACTCTGTCGCCTGTATTTAAAGCTTGACGTCATTACGCTTTGCTTTTGGTGGACATGTAAACTCGGCAGACAGTGTCTATGGAAACCATGCCCTTCTGTTATTGCTGTGACACACAGAAATACAGGCATTACAGTGCAATGTGCATCTGCACAGAAACTATGCTTTCCAAAACATTGTGCACTCCTTTATGTGCTCAGTTAATCTGAAGTAATCAACTCTACAAGAAATCATAGTGAAGTCCAAGGAACATTTCAAGGACATTCAACAACACTAAGGACAAGTTGCATTCAGTGCAAAGAACATTTCCAAGACTTTGAATATACCTCATTAAAAAAGGAACAAAACATGAAACTGTGAACCGCGAACCTGACAAGAACTGTCTGTCCGGTGCATTAAGGAAGATGAATAAAAGGTCTATGGCAGTGCTGTCCTGCCTGACAGACATGGAGAAAAACTGTGCTAGTGGAAAAACGGTTATAATCTTAATGAGAAAGAAGTTAGAAATAACCTTCAAATAGTTATGCTTTTTAGACATTTTTCACATTAATAAGTACGCAGTATAGACCTCATGTTGCAATGGAATTCATGCTTTTAATATTCAAAGCTCATATGTGTTAAATAAGGGAAAATGCTGCTCTTTGGTGGTGATAGTGACTGATCTCAACTCAGATTTTTCATCTGCTCTTCTGTTAGGCTTTTATTTGAAGACCAAGACAGTGGGCTGTTTAGTGTTACACTCTTCAGGAAGGCTATTGATGACTTCAAACACAAAGCAAGAGAAAACAAGTAAGTCTTTAAAGCTTCACAGTCTGTAGTTGTTATTTTGTCAATTGGAGCTGAAAATCTGTTTCCTGTAGTCTCAGTTCCTTAAGTGTATTTGAATGGCAGATTTGTGAATGTATTACTGTTCAAAAGATTTGTTTATGTTTTTGAAAGAAGTCTCTTATGCTCACCAAAGCTACATTAATTTGGTAAATACAGTTAAAAAAAACAGTAATATTGTGAATATATATTCACAAATATTACTGTATTACACAAATATTAAATATATATTCACAAATATTAAACAGTAATATTTGTTTGAATATATTTTCAAATGTAATTTATTCCAGTGATGGTAAAGCTGAATTGTCAGCATCATTACTCCAGTCTTCAGTGTCACATGATCCTTCAGAAATCAGTATAATTTGCTGCTCAGGAAACATTTCTTATTATTATAAATTAACGGTTGAAAACCGGTTTTTATTTTTTGTAAACACCATGATAAAGTTTTTTCAGGATTCTTTGATGAATAGAAAGTTCAAAAGAACAGCATTCATTTGACATAGAAATCTTTTGTCTTTATTGGCACATTTGATCAATTTAATGCGTCCTAGCTGAATAAAAGTATTTGTTTAATCCAAAATAAAACCTCTGTGCATTTGAAGTTTTTCAGTTCTGTAGACAGTTTTGTCCCATACTTCAAGAATCAGTGTAAATATATTCTCAGATTATGAATGACAGACTGCTGTAAGATTGTTGTAATGTCTCACAATGTGTTTTGAGTGTTCACTGATGCCATCATGTCTTTCAGCTGAATCAGAGGAAAGCTTGCCTTGACCCTATGTTTCTGATTTTCAGGTTCATGGTGCGTGATTTTCAGTACAATGAAGAGGAGATGAAAGCAGATAAAGAGGAGATGACTCGCCTCTCCACTGACAAGAAAAAGCAATTTGTATGCGTGCTGCCGACTAAATTTTATTCACTTTTGAACATTATAAAATCCTCCACAATGTTGTTGATGAGTAACCTCAAAACTCCTCAACCTCACAGCCAGCTTGAGAGGCCCTGGGCCTTGATTAGTCTTCATTTGAAGTAATAAGAACGAGAAAAGATAAGTAATGATAACAACGGTCAATCTGCTTCTGCACCTCAGGGTCCTTTGGTGCGTTGGCTTAAAGTAAACTTCAGTGAGGCTTTCATCACATGGATACACATCAAGGCACTTCGGGTTTTTACAGAGTCAGTCTTGAGGTACAGTGTGTACAAATCTTTTTAAAGCATATGAATCTGTTTCATAAATAGATGTAGATTGTCTGATGTAAGACCTGCATATGTGTATTTAACAGGTATGGGCTGCCAGTCAATTTCCAGGCCATGCTGCTTCAGCCCAACAGGAAGAATGTAAAGAAACTGAGAGAAGTTCTGCAGGACCTTTACAAACACTTGGACAGCAGTGCTACTGTTATTGATGTGAGTAATAATCAAGTTTATGTTTTTAAAAGAAGTCTCTTATGTTCACCAAGGCTGCATTTATTTGATCAAAAATACTGTAAAGACAGTAATAATGTGAAATATCTGGTAAACTGGTTTCTATTCAGCTTTACCATTACAAGAATACATTACATTTTAAAATATATTAAATATTTAAAAATGTAATTTATTCCTGTGATGGCAAAGCTGAATTTTCAGCATCATTACTCACATGATCCTTCAGAAGTCATTCTAATATGCTGATTTGCTGCTCAAAAACATTTTGTGTATTATTATCAATGTTGAAAGCAGTTTTTGTGATACACTACCATTCAAATGTTTGGGCTAAATAAGATAAAAACAATTAATACTTTTATTTAGAAAGGATGCATTAAATTGATCAGAAGTGACAGTAAAGACATTTATAATGTTACAAAAGATTTATATTTCAAATAAATGCTGTTCGTTTGAACTGTCTATTCATCATAAAATTCTGAAAAATGTATCAGTTTCCACAAAATGATTAAACCGCATTGATAATAATAAGAACCGTTAATAATTGAGCACCAATAATAATTGATCAAACTAAAGGGATAGTTCACCCAAAAGTGGTAATTCTGTCATTATCCTCAAGTTGTCCCAAACCTGTATTCGTTTCTTTTTTCTGTTGAACACAAAAGAAGATATTTTGAGTTACCAAACATTTGCTGGTAGCCACTGACTTCCAAAGTATGAAAAAAATACGATGGAAGTCAATGGGAACCAGCAACTAACAAACAATTTTTTTTGTGTTCAGCAGAATAAAGAAACTCATACAGGTTTGGAACAACTTGAAGTTGAGAATTTTCATTTTTTGGTGAACTATCCCTTTAAGCAGCAAATCAGCTAATTATAATGATTTCTGAAGGATCATAGGGCAATAAAGACTGGAGTAATGGCTAATGAAAATTCACCACAGAAATGCCATCACAGGAATAAAGTACATTTTCAATTATATATTCAAATAGAAAACAGTTCTTTGAAATTCTAATAATATTTGGCAATATTACTGTATGTATTGTATTTTTTGATCAAATACATGCAGCTTTGGTGAGCATAAGAAACTGGCCTAATTGAAGATATCTCTACATCACAGCTGATTTGTTCATTTTTGTTGTGTTTTAGGCATCTATGGACATCCCGGGTCTGAATCTCAGCCAGCAAGAGTACTATCCGTATGTTTACTACAAGATCGACTGCAACCTCCTTGAGTTCAAATAGAATGCAAATTCCAGTGCACCATTCAATCCTGCTTCACAGAGACTGTACCCAATAATTTATTAAACACTTACTGTTTATCTTTACTTTTTACCTCTCTGTTAGTACCTCCCTCTCACTGCCTCATTCCTTCATCATTCCTGCAGATCAGATTCGATTTCTAATAAGAAGTCTCAGAATCTCACAGTTGGTTTAATTTGTTTACAAATGAAGGTTTTTCAGGGGTTTTAAAATCTGTCCTTCGAGGGCATGTGTGGTCCAACACTGAACACTCGTCTTTCGCTGAGCACATAATGGTTATGCATTCTGTTTTTAATTTTCTGTTGGTGCTTACTCTGTGCCATGTGCAGGTAATGCAGTGATTATATTTAATTGTGTTGCTGAGAACCACTATGTTTGTGTTTGTCTGTGTTTGTACTTCTGCTGTGAGATTAAATGTATTTACTGTATGTTTGTGTTGGAAAAGGTGAAAGACATGATCACATGCTGGATGTGAAGACCAATCAAAGTCAATAAAATTATAGCACGTAATTTTGTTTATTTAGTTTTATTGTTAGGGGTGAGGACCTTTATTCAAATGACTATATATGCACTGATTCTGCAGAATTATTGGAAGGAGATGACTGCTTTAAAACAAATCATAATTATCACTTTCTGATTCCTTACAAAAAGTACCATGGCAGCACCACTGTACAGTAATACCAGGGTACTTTTATGAAACATGAATTCAAGGGCAAATAAGGATGTCCAATATAAAATCAATATTAATTTAAAAAGAGATATATTTTAAAATATGTTAGAATTTGTGTGCGTTTTCATAGTTTTGATTTAATTATTTTTTTAATTCCTCTTTTTCATGATAAAATAACATCAGGCTGAATGTACTAACATATTTTATATCTACATGCAATAAACCTACATAATATATATATATATATATATTATTATTATTTTTTTTTTACAAATATATATTTTTTAGTCATTATTAATATCAAGACGTTTTTAGGGTTATTCTATTTGACCCCAACAAAACGTCTGTACAAAAAAGGTATATATACACTGAAATAAATATATTGAAATTGCCTATAGAAATTATTTTTGATAACTTGACTGATTTATAATATATGAAAAATCTTGTATTAAATAGGAAAATACAAAACAGAAGCACTCTCATCACTCCTGTGTGTAGCCTATGTGTGTGCTTTATAATGTAGACCTATAAAATATAAAGTTTTATTTGAACACGTTTTTGGTGCTAAAACATGCGTCTAAAACGTAAACGTATTCCTCTCTCGTTTGTTTTGGCGCAAATCGCCTCCACACAGTATCGCAATAAACTGATGACCTAAAGGATGACAAATCTCAAGTTTGGCAAATGCACGAGGTGCTCTCATTCACTCACAGCTGCGCGTGGGACCAGAGCATACACGCACGCACGCGCGCGCTCGTCTGCAGCATTTCACAGCGCATGCAGCGCTCCATCTTATTTCAATGGGCTGCGGTGGGACTCGAGCAGATGCTATTGAACCGCGATATCATGAGAGCTGGACCAGAGAGACCGAATCGACGTGGCTTACCAATACTGATGCTGAAATCCCCAACGTGCGTGGAGAATCTAGCCATCTTATTAAAGACAATGCAAAACTATCAGGTATATGCTGTTTTTGCTAAAAGTAATAGGTTATAAAATGCATACACATACGGTTGAAAATAGGCTATAGGCTGTTTATCTGATTTAAATGCAAAAGTCTGTAGCTTTAAGATGCTGAGGTTTTATAGAGCTTGTTCTGAATTCAAATCAAAGTTTGTTTGGCTTGATTATTCTCTTCTGAAATGCCTTTTAGTCTTAAAATAGTTTTTAATTAGGCGAAAAGAAGCTTTTTGTGAAATATGATTGTCACTTCCTCCTCAGGTAGAGGCATGAAGGCCAGATCCTGTGGAGACGGAGGCAGACAGATGGTTAATGCAGGCACTCAATGTGGAAAGCAGGTTTTGACTTCCAGCACCTGCGCAAACCGTCAAAAAACATCCTGCAGTCATCATGAGGTTTCAGTCACTGAATATAAAGCTGCCAGCTATTTATGAAATATTACACTTTTAAAGGTCTCATGCATAATTCTTCAAGCTTCAGGGTTTTGACAATGTCGAGACATAGCAGACTGAAAGAACAGCTGTGTCAATGTTCGAATAACATTAAGTCTGATTTTCATTCGATATATGGTGACGGCTTGTTTGTGTTTTACAGCACATAAGTGACTCAAAACACACAACGCACAAAAAGGAAAGTGCTCATTCTGAAGGGGTTTCATCTAATGCTGCTGCTCACCCAGGGGAGCCATGAGGGGGGAAAAACATCTTTGTCTGATACGGTGCGGAGGATACACTCTGAAACCCAGAGGAGTTCAGTGATATAGGAAACCATAAGCTGTAAAGAGAAATAGAGCTTCATAAGAGATGATATCCTATTAATGCACACTTATAGAAATATTATGCTTTGCTGAAGTTTTGTTGCAAAAATGGGTTAAAAAGATGCATCTGATCAGAGGAAAGTGCTCATTCTGAAGGGGTTTCATCTAATGCTGCTGCTCACCCATGAGGGGGGGAAAACATCTTTGTCTGATACGGTGCGGAGGATACACTCTGAAACCCAGAGGAGTTCAGTGATATAGGAAACCATAAGCTGTAAAGAGAAATAGAGCTTCATAAGAGATGATATCCTATTAATGCACACTTATATAAATATTATGCTTTGCTGAAGTTTTGTTGCAAAAATGGGTTAAAAAGATGCATCTGATCATCAGCATGGCAAATATATAGATTTTTAGTCAACACTGATTTCCTCATAGGAGTTACTGAGCAAAGCACATGTTCATAGTGTTGCATATAGGAGTTATTATCGCTCACAACTACTTACAGTGGGTACGGAAAGTATTCAGACCCCCTTACATTTTTCACTCTTTGTTATATTGCAGCCATTTGCTAAAATCATTTAAGTTAATTTTTTTCCTCATTAATGTACACACAGCACCCCATATTGACAGAAAAACACAGAATTGTTGACATTTTTGCAGATTTATTAAAAAAGAAAAACTGAAATATCACACGGTCCTAAGTATTCAGACCCTTTGCTGTGACACTCATATATTTAACTCAGGTGCTGTCCATTTCTTCTGATCATCCTTGAGATGGTTCTACACCTTCATTTGAGTCCAGCTGTGTTTGATTAAACTGATTGGACTTGATTAGGAAAGCCACACACCTGTCTATATAAGACCTTACAGCTCACAGTGCATGTCAGAGCAAATGAGAATCATGAGGTCAAAGGAACTGCCTGAAGAGCTCAGAGACAGAATTGTGGCAAGGCACAGATCTGGCCAAGGTTACAAAAACATTTCTGCTGCACCAAATACACAAAATAATGTTCATTTTAGCAGAATCATATGACCCCTTTAATATGGTCAGCTAAATGCTGTAAAATCTCTGGAACCACTAGATGGAGCAGTTTATCTCACATTACATAATAAACGAACTATTGTGTTTTAGACATTCACTGTGACATTAATATGAAACATTTAATGTAGGGGAAAAAGCACATTTTTAAAAATTGAGACATTACCTGTGCACGGTTTTACCAAACCTTAAGGCTGCATCATAAAATAGACACTAAGAATAGACAGTCTAAAATAGTGAATAGCTCTATTTATTATAGAAATATTTAACTTATTTAACATACAGAAAAAAAGCTTGTATGGATATTATACAGGAGCCTATATTAACTTAAACAAGAGAACCTGCTGTTTAAGATTTTACCAGTTTGGTTATATACTATCCATTAGCAAGAGTGCAAATCAAATTATAAGACAGACATGCCTATTTTACTTTACAACCTCAAAGATCCTTTTTTGTTTTTAACATTTCAATTACATAGCTTTCACTCATTTTTAATTGGTTAAGCCAATAGGGCCCCTCCCTGTGTCTCCCCTATGTAGCCTACATTAAATCCTCAATTTAGTTTGCAGTTTTGAGTTGACAACTTTTTATATAGAAAGGGGTGCAGTAGCCGAATTATTTACTAATCGGCTTTAACTGGGCAATCTAAGACTAAATGTCTATAGCCTATAAATTTAGCACAGGCCATTTGACCGGTACCACTCATATTTGCATACCAACTAGTTTTACATTTAACAGGTTAACATTTAAATGATACGTTTAAATTAAACGTTTTCATACAAATTTAGATAAAGATTTAACGTGTAGTCTATATGTAGCCTATACTAAATTGTGTTAGCTTGTTTTTTTAGCATGGTAAACAAACCATTTTCTGAAAGGCTACGCATTTAGGCTAATTCTAAAGTTCTTATCGTTATTATAAAATGTGGAAAAAGTCGCCATTTAACATTAAGATGTTCTGTAATAGTTTGTATTGTCAAAGGACTGACTGAGGACTCGACTGACTCTGAGACCATGCGGAAAAGTCGTCTGAGCGCCTCCGAGCCGAACAGCAGCAGCAGCAGCAGCGCGAGCTCAGAACAGAAGTAGCGACACGCGCGCCGTGCTTCTAGATGACAGACCTAACGTAAACAGACCTTTCCTGTCTCTTCTTCATCACCCTAACACGGTCTCTCCTGCTCTCGGGGAGCCCGGAGAAGAAGAATGACTGATGAAGGAATGCTAATCTCACCGTCGGCTCTCCAGGATCCCGGAGATGGGGCGAAACCCGAAGACATCAGCATGGATTGTACGGACGGGGAAGATGAATTGTGTTTGGAAGAGATTTTAACTCTGTACAGTCAGCCGATCAATGAGGAGCAAGCCTGGGCCGTGTGTTATCAGTGTTGCAGGTGGTTAACTCAAAAACAGAGACGGAAAGAGACAGGTGGGAGTCCACCTGGACGGATTGCGGGTCCTGGAGATGTGAGGATCCGGAAAGACGGGACTGTTAAATTATATCAACAGAGCAGTACAGGTAACCATAATGTTTACTTGAGAAGTCCAATGAAATGCGCATTAAATGGCGCACCATGAAAACAGCTGAACAACAACGGCATTGAGACTCGTTTATTTACAACTGACGCGTCAATATAAGCGAAATTATGATTAATGGAGGCCATTTTTAGAAAGATAGGAATGTGCCTACACCTCAATTCTAGCTTTACGCCGATTACTTTAGTATTATATATATATATATATATATATATATATATATTAGCCTATGCTTTGATTTTATTAGCACCTCATGATTTTTTAAACCATTATTCATTGCAACACAAACCATTTCCTCTCCATAAAACCGGCTAAATTGTGGCGACCATCGTGCCATTGTAAACAATGGGGCCATGAGATGGATTCATCCATAAGCACCTTCAGTCATGAGGGGAACAATAGGGACCTGCTCTTTGGCCTAGTACTGGTGTGATATCATGCATACTTACCATCTTGATTCAACATTTAGACATGCTTATGTATTGTTCAGAATGCACTATTACGACAATACCTAGTATGAATCATGTAGAACATTTAAAGGGGTCATATGATGGGATTTCATGTTTTCCTTTCTCTTTGGAGTGCTACAAGCTGATTGTGCATAGATAAGATCCCTGAAGTTGCAAAGACTAAAGTCTCAAAACCAAAGAGATATTCTTTATCAAAGTTAAGACTCTGCCACACCCCCCTAAAATGGCTCATTCTAACACGCCCCCACATATCTACCTCACTATGTGGAAATATTTGCATAATGAGCGCGAGAGAGGGAGAGGAGAGAGGGAGGGGGAGGGGGGGTCGCATCACAGTGGAGTCAGCTGTCTTAACCGTGGCTTGTGTACTGCAAACACATATTCATCACTGTGTCTGTCACGCGACTCTGTTCTCCTTTCGGGCTCTGTATTTACATTTATTTTGAAAGATGAAGCTCGCGATTATGGTAAGGTAATACATTTGCGACGAGTGCTTGCGGTGTTCGGCCAATCACAATGCATTGGGTCAGCTGGCCAATCAGAGCAGACTGCGCTTGTCGGAAGGAGGGACTTTGTAGAAACCGAAGCGTTTGAGAGAGGCGGGGCATAGATGACCTACAATAATGTACAGTATTTGAAAAATAATGTGTTTTTTGAACATTAAAGCATGTCAACATATTCTGTTACACCAAATACACAAAATAATGATCTTTAAAAAAGCATCATATGACCCCATTTGAAAAATAATGTGTTTTTTGAACATTAAAGCATGTCAACATATTCTGTTACACCAAATAATGATCTTTAAAAGAGCATCATATGACCCCTTTAATGTGCTAAACGCATCTAAATATCTGATGTTATTCTCTACTTCCAGTCATATTTAGTGCAATGTACTAAGTTAATAATATGAAACCATTATAAATTAAAATATACCATCAGATTACCGGTTAAAATTAGCCTATGTATTTTACTTGAGGACAAATAGCGTGGGGCTTTGAATATAGATAATACCTGTTTTTTATTAGTTTTTTCCAAAATCATCATTTCAAAAAAATAATTTCGAGAGAGCGATTTCTCAGAACTATTATAATTAAATTTGCAAGCATGATCTCATCTGGGGTCCTTAGCCTAAGGCTTTTGGATTTGGCTTCCATCTCTGTTTCCCTGTCCGTGCACTACGTTCCATTCACTGTATAGAAAATACTAATTCTGTGGACAAGTGACCGATTTCAGCCGTGGCGCCGTGGCTTTTAGACATGACTGTCAGTTATTTGAGCTTTTCTTTCTTTCTTTTTTTTATGCTGTTTTAAATAGCTAATATCTTATACATTTAACTTCCAGAGGACACTTCCATAGGTTTCTTCTGCTTGAAGTAATTGAGTATTAACCTGTGAATGACCTGCAGTTAGCTGCTGATTCATCTTTAAGAGAGCCATAGTATAGCTATGCAGTTGATAGTCTATGACCCTGTTTATACAAAATATTTTTAAGGATGTAAAGTGAAAAGATTTATCTTCTGCTTCTGTATTAAATATAGAAGTGTAATGCCAAATGTCAAGCAAATAATTAGATCAGATGGTCCCTAGCAGGCAAGAAAATCAATGCTTATGTAACATGAGAGTCTGCTGAATTCTGCTCTCCTGGGGAAGTTCACTGGCCTGGCAAATGTGGATGCGTTCAAATTGCGCTGACTGACCAATTATATCAGACTGTGGGTTGTTAACCTGCCAGTTTCAGTCGTGATCTATCTCTGATGAATAGATCTGTTCTTCAAACCGAATAAAACCATTTGAGAGTCTCTTAGAGATGTTATGTGTAAATAAGTCTGTCTCCAAGCTTCAGGCAATGCTTCACTGATGTTTATGTCTCCTTTTCTGCTATATGA